AACGCTGGCAGCGGACCCGTCGTGATGGACGGCACCGTTGTGCTTGGGGGCGCCGGCGGGAAGCTCGTTGTGGGGTGTCTGACGCTCAACGGGGAGGCGCTGCAGCCGATGGACTACAGATCCGCCGGCGTCATCGGGGAATTCCGCCCCGTGGCGTGTGGCGTGTGCGACGCCGACGTGAACTGCTTTGCAGCTGCGACGAGGGCGATGTCGGGGTCGTGCCGCTGCCGCTGTGCTGAGGGCGGGTACGGGCGCGACTGCCTGCCGGTGTACCTGCCGCACGTGGACGGGTGCAACCGCACGCCTGCCCCGCCGCTGCTGAGCCACACGGCAACGCTGACGGCGACGCGCAGCCTGACGCCAACGTGGACGCCGAGCCCAAGCGCGACGCAGTACTGGCCAACGCGGCATGGGCCGACGGAGACCCAGCGGGTGACGGAGACGGTGGAGCTGCCGCCCACGCGGACCCCGACGGCGTCGGTGAGTAGCACGCTGTGGTGGAGCGACGTGGCGTGCCCGACGCTTGCCGTGACGACGACGGCGGCTGGTGGGAGCCTGACGCAGAGCGACATCCGTGGCGGTGGGAGCGCCGTCCCGACACTGCTGATGGTGGCGCTGCCGCCGCCGTTTCGGTGGGCAAGCGACCCGCAGATCGGCACGCACCTGAGCTTTGTGCCTACATCGACGGCGCAGCCGAGCGGGTTTGGCGGTCCGTGGGGAGCGATGCTGCGCAACGCGACGTGGGTGCGCAACGCGAAGAATCCGTCCACCGTCCTGGAGCTGGCTGTGCCCGTGCACCGCGGTTACTTCATTGCTGCCGACGAGACGCTAGTCATTCGCTGCGACGCTGTGGCGGTGTTCAGCGGCTGCAAGGGTGTGCTGCTTGGGTCCTTCACGATCAGGTCGAACACGCTGCCCGCCGCTGCCAGCGTCCTCTCTGCGATCACCGGCGTTGTTGCGGGTGCGGCGGCTGTTGCCGTGGTGGTGACTGGCGGGCTGGGCTCCGTTCTGGAGTTGCAGGCACTCGGCGTGTTCGCGAGGATGCCATGCGCCTCGGCGCAGGAGCGTGCGAGCACCGTTGCGCTGCCGTACTTCCTGTCGGTGTTTGCTGCCCTTGACCCGCTGTGGATGGTGGTGGGCAACGCGCTGCTCGCCGCTGTGTTCGGGTGCGTGCACTGCGGTGTGACGGCCGCCTTCCAGCGGTGGCGCGGCGTGGACGCGGCGAGTGCGTGGGCGGCGATGCGCTTCCCGAGCCTGACGTACGTTGTGGCGCACGCGATGCACCTCGGCATTTTCTTCGGCTCGGTGTTCGCACTGGCGATGCCCGGCGCCCGCGTGCAGCACCGCGTGATTGGTGTCGCCGGCGTGCTGTACGGTGTGGCGTTCCCTGCTGGCGTGTGCTACTTCATTGCGCGTCACACAGGCGCGAGCTTCACGAAGTACTGGCAGTTTTTGAGGAAGCCGCTGCACGAGCGCCTGCTTTACCCCGTCGGGTATTGGCACCCCGTAGCGCAGCAGCGGATGTACGGCGGCATGCTGACGAACATGAGGGGCAGCCACGTGTACTGGTGCGTGTTCCAGCTGTCGGTGCTGTGCGTGGTGTGCCTGATTGCTGCTGTGCACCCGCCCGTGGGGGGCTGCCACGTCCAGTACTTCTGCATGGCGGCTGTGCTGCTTGCGGGCGCGGGCGTGGTTGCCTTCACGAACATGATGCGCTCGGCCTACCTGACGGTGATGCACGCGGTGAGCTTTGTGCTCTTTGCGGCGCTGTGTCTGGTCAGCGTGACAAACCACGTTGCTCCGAGCGACGGCGGTGCGAGGGCGTACGCGGCAATGTTGCTGCTGCTGACCACTGTGCTGCTTGCGGTCACTGTGTACAGCGTCGTTGTGTGGTACGCGGAGGACCGCCACTGGCAGGAGCTGCGCGAGCCGCGGCGTGGTGGGCTGGAGGCGCTGCTGCGCGATGACGGGGAGAGCGACGAGGATGTGCAGAAGCTCCACGAAATGACGTCATCGTCGTACGCTTCAGGCACCACTGGTGCATCGTCGTACCGACCACCCGCGCAGCTGCAGCCCATGGCTGGTAACACCCGTCCAGACGCGCTGAGCCTGTTTGACCGTGCATTGAGTGCGAGCGGCAAAAGTGATCACGCCCTCCTGTGACGTGCAACACGTAGAAATGACAGGCGTGCAGTGCTGCTTGTTGGGGGAGGGCGCAGGGCCACGGATTTGCTGCGCACCACAGCCATCCATCGTCAACAGCACCGACCGTGTTGTTGATTGTTGTTTCTATCGATTTGTTTCTATTTTGAGCGGGTGTTTTCAGGAGTTGCTCCCGTTCCACGATGATTGTGTGGAAGGGGATTGAATTGTCGCTCTTGTTACTGCTGGTGTTGTGCTGTATCGGAATGTAATTCCATGGAGTTGTGTGCGAGGAACTCAACGCCCATTTTGTGCAATGGAAGAAGGATCCAGCGAACCGCCTAGTGGAATTAATGAATTGTGGCTTTGCCCTATCGTGGGTTTCCTTACAGGAGCAAAGCGGCGACGGAGCAGCAGCAGGGCTCCGGGTTTCCAAGAACGTCTTTTAGCGGGATTATGTATTGGGGCACGACCGCCTTCCGTGATTAGGCTGCCCTGGCGTGGCGAGTGCACAGGGTGATTCATGTCTTTAGTGGTGAAATTGACGGACCAAGCCATCCCGGTCACGCTCCACACTTATCCTCGAGCGCACCGCCATGGCTGGATCCCTCAGGTGTGCGCGTGGAAGGTGGGAGCCTTGGATGACGCGGCATTGGGATTTGTTGCCCGTTACGGCCCGCACGTTTTGTGTGTGCAGGAGGTGTGACAGTCACTTTCGGCAATTTGCACATCCCTTCACGGCGCGGCCCTTGATTTACTTGGCACACCGCATTCCGCCGGCAAGGAATATTGTTGAGGATTGGCCACGCTGGTACGGGGATGCCTACACGAGGAATTCTTTCCTCTTCCCAATTTCCTTCTGGCCGTGCGAAATTCATGCACCACAGCAGATACAGAGTGGTGTGGTGTTAGCATGGAGTGTACGATATTCACCGAGACTTTTTCCACGGCAGCGTGCGACTATGCACCTTCTCGTTGAACCGTGGAAGCACGCGAACACATGTCGACGGTTCTGTATCACCTGGTGACTCACATTGTGGACGTACCCTTTTGTCTCGCCCGCAGCGCCGAGGAGCGCGTATACGGATGCAGCTTGTCCTTAGCCACTGCGGCGTGTCCAAGAACGAAGCTTGTGATGCGAAATTCAGACAAGGCGTCCGACCTCGCACAGCTCATTGACAAATGGAGCGCCGGCATCGTCGCACTGGCCGAACGTATTATTGGTGCCCGACAGCTCAAGCCAGGGGCTCACCGCTTCACCGTAACAGGCGACTGGGAACCCACGTGCACGGACTCCATTCTCACTCGTGGGGAAGAGGCTGCACTGGCCTGCCTCCGCAGCGGGGTTTCGCACAAATACGGATGGCTGCCACGGCCACTGCAACCCGCCATCCCGAGCACATTCTGTTGGTGCGGCCCGGATGCCTCACAACAGGCACGCAAAAGAGTTCACACGGAAACGCCTCCTCCTCCTGCTGGACCCCACCACGCCACGATCCGACGCCCGGCAGACTGCCCGGTTTGCGGCAAGCACCGCAGCTGCCGCACTAGTGTCGTGACGCACATGGTTAACGCCCAGGGCATTACGCGCTCTCCCAGCCGCTGCGGGAGTTCAGCTTTCCCGGTGAGCCGGAACCGCCAGAAATCCCACCGGAACCACCGCCCAGCACTTGAGCGAGGACGAGAGCGAGAGAAGGCACACCGATCGCACCTCCGCCGCAGACTGCACAGGCCAGGCCGAAGCCACTCTCATGCAGTTTCCGCATGGCGTCGTGCGAAAGGCAAGCCGGAATTGTATTTCATCTTCAGCACTTCCACAAGCAAGAGTTCCCCCGACAAATAGGAGGCGTTGCCAGGAATGTGACGGTCTGACGGCATCCACCCCTTTCGAATGAAGTTACTGTGAATTCAGGGCTCAAGCGAAAACGGGACCACCATCCCGCATACGAGCACACGAACACTCCAGCACAGAGCTACGATCGGCACCGAAGAAGGAAGCACTTCGTAAATGCCCTTGATGCGACAGGCAGGCGAGCAGTGCCGGGGGATTGACCACCCACACACGGCACAAACACCCGACAGAAAGAAAGTCGTGACACTAAAAATAGGGATTAAATAGCCACGCGCTGCAAGGCCCGAACCTCCGCATGAAGAGCATCAAACCCACACAGAAACCCCGCCTCTGCACAGGAGGAGAATACCACCGAGAAACAGTGCACCGTGTGCCTAAAATGGCACGCACACATGCGTTGATTAACGTCACGCTGTCGCCGACTTCACGACGGCAGAGAGGTCAGGCCGCCGAGAAGGCGCACGTTGCCCGGTGACGACAGACCAATGGGATCACCACCGGCTGAGCCTCGCCGTCCAGCATGCGTGTTTCAGTGCCACAGCAATGCCTGACTGACTCGCTACCGCAAGGCGCGCCACGGCATTGACCGGAAATTGTGAGAACCGGCCGACCGGAACTGTGCGGAGAGGCAAGTCTGTCTTTACTCCGCTGCCCGGCTCTGCAAGCACCCAGAAAAAAGCATGGAGCGGAAATTGGAGAAGTGGGGAAGTCGTGCTTCACGGAAATATTGGTGTGGTTCCACTTTGAAGTGGAAAGGCACTACCCGGCAGTACCTCCGTGCGGCGAGAAGGCACGAGGCCCCTCGCAGATGCGGCGGGCCGTATTTGCTCCTGGCAGGCTGCTCTCCTCTCCCTTTCCTCATTTATAGCGTCCATGTTTGGTTGGTTCTGTGATTTGTTGTTTTATTGATTCTTGGCAGCAACGGATTATCGAGCCACCGCGCTATCCCCGGGGCGGATGCGTAGCGGTGGTGTGTGCTTCACGGCCTCCGCTGCGGCTCCCACTTTGGGTGCCGGGCTCTCTTTTAAATCTCCGATCGTTGGGCGGAAGTGCTCTGCGATGGTGGCTGGCGTGTGAGCCTTCTTATTTATTTGAGCAGACACGAGGAATAGTAACAATATATATATATATATATATATATATATATATATATATCAAAAGCGCTGAATAGATATTGATACCGACAACTATATACCTATTTATATACATATGCAGCCAATAAAATGGCATTTCAATAAACCACGTAGCCAATCTGTCTCTCAATTTGGAGGGGAGAGAAGGGATACATCCATATCTATACACATGCGTCAATAAATAAGAATAAAGTAGCGTTTTTATATTCCTATCCATATCGATATATCTATGCATTGATCGATGCTTATTTTTGTATCTATATCTTTCCATATAATTTGTTTGAGGAGCTTGCGAAGAGAATGATCGCGAGAGGGCTGGCAAACTTAATTAATGTATATGTACCCTGATAAAACGAATACACTTCTTTACGACACCTCTTTGTCTTATGAATTTTGGGAAGGCCACGACTTTAGGGATTCGATAGCGGCAGCTAATTTTTTAATTTCTAATTTTAAATTTACAGACACAGCGAGGTTGTTTTATATGGAGGAATGGCATTGGTTCCTTACACGGCCCCCGAGTGGAGCGATATTGATGGCCGTCTCTCGGAATTGGTACGCCAACATGGCGCTATTCAGGTGCAGCTCACCTTCGTTGATGAAAAAGGGCTGTCGTACGCGACGCTGACTGTGGCCGCCTCCAAGAGAGGCTTACGCTTTATTTCGGGAAAAGTTGCCAGTCGGTGGGAGGATTCGAGCCTTACAGGACATATTGCGAATCTCCGGGCGCCTCAAGTAGCAAATGTCGAGACCCAAGTGCTCCTGCCCATCGTGTGGAGGTGGCCCGGGAGTTGGGGGTCCAGCGAGGGCTCATCATCGCTGAAAGGGAGCGCCTGAGCACTGACTACGCCCATGTCATCTCGGACTTGCAGAATCGAAACGCTTAGCTTAATTTTCAGGTGGAGTAGGCGCATAACAACCTATCGGTGCGCGAAGCTAACATTGCGGTCTCCGGCGGCCTTCTTGCAGAACGAGAATACGCGCTCGCCGGACGCGAACAGCAGTTGGAGGTGACCCGTGCCCAACTCCAGGAACGAGAGGCACGCGTTAGTGCAAGAGAGACGCGGCAAGCCGCGTGGGAGGCGGAGACGGCGGGCCGGGAAGAAGTCCCGACCTTTCGGAGAGGCTCGACAGATAGGCCTGCCACGCGTCAAAATACGGCCGAAGATGGCGTTACCAAAAAACCGCGGCGTCAAACGCATCGCTTAATGGTTGGGGATGCGTCGTTCCGCACGGCCTGGCGAAGCCCGGCGCGAGAGAGACGGCAGGCTATTCCCCAGACTTCTCAGGGCAATTTTGGATGACCACATTTCCGTTCCTTAATGCCTTTGCCTTCCTGCACCTCCCCCTTGGACGCTCATTCCGGTACAGAAGAAGAGGAACGAAAGTTCCGCGCACTCGGCGTCACCACTTGGGCTACACGTGTATGGAATGAGGGCATTTCCGGAGTCGTTGTCGACCTCCGGGCGCATACAAGTGCTGGCACCAGGAGGACGAGCAGGTTAAACTTGCCTTTGACAGTTTGGTTGCGTGGAAGGGCGCGCTGGAAACAGAGCGGGATCCCACTGATCAGTTTATGGATTTGGACGGGATCTTAATGCAGGAATTTCGGATGCAGCTCATGATGGCGTCCGATCCCGACATCCCGCTCTCCAAACTGCGCGCCCGTCTTTACACCGTCGTTCATGAGGCTGACACCTTTGCGAGGGCAGCCCAGCTTCTCGCGGAACGGCGAGGAGCGCAACGATCGTTGCGATGCCAGTTGTGTCACGTTTATGGACACGACGCATCTACAAGCAACGCCCGAGACGCACCCGGAGGAAGTTACTCGCAGCGCAGACGGCCGTTAAGAAAAGGCAAAGGGGCTGCCCGCCGCCTATGTAGGCGGACGACGGCAGCCCCACCCATTCCACCACCTCCCGCTATTCCGCACAGGCGTCGCACCGCACCGCCGACACTCCACCCGCTATTACAAATTGCCCGACGCAATCGTCGAGAAGGGAAATGGAGCTTATCCATCAACGACGCTCGACTGTGGTACGACGAAGCGCCGGCATCTCCGCTTTGGGCCAGTTATATGAGGAGAGCGAACGAGCTCGCTCGAGAGATGTGGGCGCCGTCAAAGCGGGAGCCGAGAATGTCCCTGGCGGGGCAATTTTCAATGTTTTTTGCTGCGCGCACGAACAGCCGATGAACTAGGAGAGCCGCGCGGCCTTTTGGCGGCAATCGATGTAGCGCCATCGACCCGACCGCAGCACGCCAGGACGCTGCGGTCCATGTTGGAAATGTATCGAACCCCGCTGGGCATGATGATTCTGGGGTTACAAAAGATTGCGGCGCGATCGGAGACGAAGCGGGCGCGCCCCGTGACAGAGGAAGAGATGAATAAAGTTATCCGCGGCCGAACCGATTGGAGGGAACGTGTTGTTTTTGATTTGTGTGGATAACGGCGAGTCGTTGGTCCGAGATTGCGGCCTTGACTGCCAACAATTTCACAATGGAGTCGGACGGGAACATAATTTTGGATTGGTCCGTGGCGCCGAAGACGGCGAGGGTGGATCCCCACCGTGCCTTGCGGTTCGTCAGGATACGAGGGCAGGATGCGTTCGACTTTATAAAGCTATGCAGGACAGTTCACGAAAACGAAAAGCTCACGAATATTACTAATGCCCAAGTCGAAGGAGCTCTGGCTCCTTGGAATGCCACGGCGTATTCCATAAAGCGCGGTGCGTTGAGACACGCTGCTCAAATCGAGGAGACGTACTATTTGGACCCACACGTGATCTCGCAGTTGGCGAAGCACGTCGACCCGTTCGACCTTCCCCAGGACACGGTTCGATATTTGGGGAGGTACACCACAATGCTGACCCAGGTGTCGTCACCGGCCGCACTGATGTGAAGGGAGGCACTGCGGAAGGGCAGGAACCCTGGTTGAGAGCAGAGGAGCGTTTTTTCCATGATTTTCATCCTCACTCCGCTACAATTACGAGACGCGCGACAAGGACGCGTCTGACCACTCCATAAGATGAACACGCTATCCCGTTAAAGCAAGTCAACGTGCCCGTATTGAATACCAAAGTGGATCATGAGTCGGTTGAACCCGGCTACCCTGGAGAGACTCATGCAAGTTTGGGGACTCGTCGGGCGGTCCCCTTTCCCTCCGTCTTCCTCAGGTAAGGCGTGCGAAGGCTCACGGAGAATTCCAACCGCTGACGCGCGATTATTACGAAAAGCCAGAATTATCGAGGACGCTTTGTCCACAATAACAGGCGGATGGATAATACCTTTCTCGGTTGTGGAGGAGAAAACACCGATTCACGACGACGATGGATCGCGTGGCCGCGTGACAAGAACAGAGACGACCCTTATGAGGCTCATGTTCCTCTTTTACACATTTCCCATTATTTGCCGCCTGTGATGGCTGAGACCGCCTCCTGCCTGGAATTAAAGGCATCCTTTTCTCATGTTTTTTTACCGCGGGAGACCCGGCATCTCTTTCGATGCCGCGTGGAGGACGGCACGCTGGTGGAGCTTACACGGCTCCCAATGGGATACAAGGCCGGCCAGAAATTCTCCAGATTATTACTATTGCTTCGGCAATTGCGGGGGTGACGACGGTGGTTCGCCCCCTCTGGGCTGCACCTCCATTGGTGCGTGTCGACGTTTGGATCGGTAATATACGCATTGCAGGGTCGAAAAGCGACGTGACATTGTGGGGAGCCCAAGTGCTTCGTAATGCGGACGGCTGTCACGCCACGATAGGGAGGATCGCGAATCGGGCGCTACGCAGTACACCTTTCTGGGGGTGCAGTTCGATCACACTCACCAGGCGGTATCCCTGAGTGACAAGTTTGTCCGGTCTGTACGCGCCATGCCGGCGCTCAATTCTTTAACCATCGCGGAAATGGAGGTTATGGCGTCACGCTTTTTGTACGCGGCTGCCGTTTTGGGCACGCGTTTATACGACTACTACTTTTTCATCAAGGCAGTGCGACGACGATTGTCCGCAGTTAACCGGGGGATTGTGCAGGAGACATCCCCGGCCAACCTTCCGCCGTCAGCGGTTGGTTTGGGCGAGAGATCACGACAGATCATCGAGAACAATCATAGGCGAATCATCAAGCCCACGGAGAAGGCATCGGCCGCCATCATCACGGACGCATCGCTCCATGGATGGGGAGCCGTTTTTATTCCAGACTCCGGCGACGTTAAAATTGCCGGAGGAAAAGTGGAAGAGGAAGCCTTTTCTCATCATGCAGGCCGAGACACGCGCGTTACGCTTAGCCTTATCGGCCTTTTCCGCCATCCTGCCATCCACCACTGACGTTTGGGTGGAAAACACTTCGCTGCAAGGAGCGGCGAAGAAAGGCAGCTCAAAAACACAGTTTATGACGTGGGAGCCGCAACGGATATATGAGTTTTTGGACTCTCGCGGAATACAGGCATCCTTTGCATACGTACGGTCTGCGGAAAACCCCGCAGAAGGTGTATCACGCGGTCGTGTGTTTACACTTCAGGACTTGGCGAAGGGGTGGAACTTGCGAAGGGGAGCGGCGGTGTCTTGTGGTTGGCGGACCCCAAAGTCTGCCAGTTCGCAAATAATAAGTAAACACTAAATATATGTATCCTATCCGAATAGAGTGAGCGGGCCACGATTGTGGCTAACGGATGGTGTATAAATGTATAAACATGCAGTCACCTGGTGTTAAGCATTGAGGGTGTGGTGAATCCACACTCTTATTCTGTTGATCCCTCACTTATTTCTATCTTGTTTGGTTTCTATTGTTGATAAACTGCAGGATCCGGCCAGCGGCCTAGAAGACTATTCTAAAGTTTTTTTTTTTTTTACACGAATGATATTTAAGCGAGTACGGCATGGGTTTAAAGAGCGCAAACATGTTCGGCATGACGGGGGGAGGGCGCAGCGTCCAAACTTGGCCGTGTTGCTGAAGGTGGGAGAGGGAAGTAAAAAGTAAGAAAAATAAAGATGATGGATGAGGGAGAAATAACAGGGGAGGGAAGCAGAAAACAAGCCAAAAATATTGTGAGCACAACGCTGTTTCTCACCGTGGGCGATCGACACCGCAATTGGCTACTAATTTACCCACTGAAGGTGACACCCGTTTCCGCTGAATATGCCGCGTGCATATCTGTCGGGCTTTTTGTTTATTCTTTTGTTTTGTTTGTCTCCCGCACATTTATTTCTCCGTGCCGCCTGACCCACTCGTTTATTATTCCCCTCTCTGTTTTTGTGCGTGTGCCGAGAGAAGGGCTGAGGGACATGAGGCACGCTCCCCTTCTGTGAGATGCCACCAAAAACAGGAGGAGAAAAGAAAAAAAAAAGTGAGGCGGGGAGGGGAACCATCGCCACGTGTCCTTTTCTCCGAGAAGGCTGCTCGCCACGCCACTGAGGCGCGCCGTGTGCTTCACGAGGCCCACTGGACTCGATTGGGGTGCCGTGAATGATGGTGCGTGAGAGTGTGGCGGATGCGTCTCCCAGGCGTCCCTAGAGGACCCTCTGGCCATTGGGACTGCGTGGAATGCGGGATTCCGCGGGGATATTTGGCCGTTTTGTTTTTCTTCCTCCATCCGCCCATCCCAAACCTCAACACGGCGGCTGAGCCAACGACTGCGACGGGATCCGTTGCGTATTTCCGAATCTCTCTTGCGTTGCAGCGGCAGGCCTGGTGTGTCCTGCTTGGCAGACACGGTGGACTGAAGTGGGCTGCCTTATCGGGAAAGCGATGGTCACGGCGGAGCGTTTTGCGTACTTCGCAATTTGGCGTGTTTGTGGCGATCCATTCGGATGATGTGACGGCGCCTCTTTTTCTTACAAGGAGAGAAGCGATGCTCCACGGTGATGCACACGTTGCGTGTGGAGGTTTCTCTTGCTGTTGGTTTGTGAACGTTTATTTTTTGCTTTTGCCAGAACACCACAGAGGGCGGTGTCTGTGGACAGCAGAGCATTGCGAGGAGGGGCATGACACGATTTTTGGCGCGACGAGGCGTGTTTTCTGAATTTACGGTGCTTATTTTCAGGATTGAGAGACTATTCTTTGTTGAAATGTATTGTGGGAGACCATCCGCGTGTTTGTTTTTCTTAATTAATCCCTTGACATTTGGTTTCTGCCGTGAAACAGATGTTGACTGCCGTTTTATGGCGGTGAGATGCATTTTTATTTATTTTATTGGCGAGTGTGTGAATTGTGTTGCGTTCTGCCACACGGCTTGTTGCTGACGGCAAGTTGCTGCAGTGAGACGTTGTGAGCGCCTCCGACACGAGGTGCGATTGAGCAGTCACCTCCTCCGCTCGCCGGTACACGCTTTTGAGGCGGCGTGATGGTAATGAATCGGCCTCTCAGAAGGGTAACAAGAGGACTTTTGTTCTTCCTGCTGCGGTTCACGAGTGGACTCCCAATCTGTGGGCGGGGTTGCTCTGCGTGCCGTATTTCTTTGAATTTCGATGAGTTTTGCATATGGCCATCCACACGCACATGCACACAATCTCCCTGTTTGCCCTCTTGTGGGCGGGAGGTTGGGATGCAAGGTGAAAATGTGGCCCGTGCCAGCATGTGACAAGGTCTTTCTTGGGAGGGATTGCGACTGTGATGTACGTCCTGGCAGGCAGGAATGGGATGAGAGGGGAGCGGAGGGGCGAGTAACAACGATCCTGTGCGGGGCAATGCGCAGTGACTAGGGCGAAGTGGTATTTATGTTGACTTTAAAAAAAAAATTATCTTTTTTGTTTGTCACAATGGAAAGAAACTTTGGGTGATGACTTGTGGATAATTTGCACATAATTGAGCGCGGCAACACCATTCGCGGAAAAAGTGAATGGCGTCTGCGTGAGGCTTGTTTTGTGAGCGCGAGATGGTCGGGGAGGTGTTCAACGCCCCGAGAGACCAGGAGCAAAGAGGCCTGCACTGCTGCAAGCAGAGGGCTGCACGCTCCTGTTGGTGGCGTTGCTGTGGAGCCCTGAAGGGCCTGCAGGGAAGTTGTTTCCACCGCCTCATTATTTTGCTGATTGGTGCTTGTCGCGGTCGTTTTGAGGCGGGGCGTGGGATGCACCGAGGGAGCGAGTGTCGTGTGACTGTGCTTTGAATTGACGCCGCCCACGTTTGCACACATAATTCCGTTTGTGTCCACGTCCTTGCCGCAGCGATGCACCGGGAGCGTGTGGCTGATCACTGTATCACTTGCAGACTGTTTTGGCAGGACTTTGAATGGCGTCGCCGAATGATGAAATTCCGCGTGCATGTCTCTTTCTCTCTCTCTGTGTGTGTTGGCTTTCTCTGTGTTGCTGCCTTTTTTTTTTTTCTGCGATGGTTCTCAGTGTTGCTCCTTCCGGATTGTCTTATGACTCGCTCTCTGCGTGGGTGCTCTGCTCTGCTCCTCACTGACCTTTCTGGTGTATTGCCGCTGTTGCTGCTGTACTCTCCAATTCTTGTAAACAGACACGTTAGGAAAGAAAGCAAACAGGCGCTAAACGCTACTGTGAAATTTGAAGGCACTGAAAGGACCAACAGCACACACACACACCGCCCACACACATATTGATGTGCTCTCACGTGTTGCTGCTGTGAAGGCACCCTGCACACACAACCGTCGCCGCGTGACCGGATCCAGCGGAAGGAGGAGGGAAGGAAGAGAGAGTGAGCCGCAGAGGCCCAACATGTCCCGGCATGTGTTTACTTCCGCGGTGCTGGTCCTCCTCGTCGTGATGATGTGCTGTGGCAGTGGTGCTGCACACGCTGTGGAGGGTAATGTAGGAAATACAGTTGTTGCGTTGATGGGGATTGAATAGGAACAGCTTGACAACTGGGACGATGTTTCTAACGCTGGCGGTAGATATGACTTGCTTCTTGGTCTCAGTCTCGTTGAGGTGCAGGGTCATGTACTTGCTATTGCTGAGGCCCATTGCAAGGATAGAGGCGACTGCAGCGACGTCAGCTTCACTGGGATTGCGTCAAAGTACCTTGATCTATGCTGTGTTGCTGGTCCAACGGAGATCTGGACGGCAGGTGCGACTATCCTTTGCACAGATATTATAAAGGAGGGTTCTGAGGGCGTCAGCACCCGAAACGGCATAACGCGACCAACGACACTTGTAACTGAGGACAGTGTCTAACGTTTTTGGG